GAAGTAGATATGAATCAAGACTGTCATGGGTTGGTTTGTAGAGGTCCAAGTTGGTGGACAAAGTGGTGCTACAACACTCATGAGTGCTCATAAGTTCTGAGTATTGGATTCAACCCACGCTCATTTGAATCACTTCATGGATTTTATCACGAGTGATCATGAGACGATAATATCTTATATTCTTAAAACCTAGAGATATGAGTTGTTACTATGAGTTGGTTATACATTGATTGCACGAAAACGCATTGGTAACTCGATGTTATAAAACGTTCCTTTGTGTATGATTCAACAAGTAGTAGAACAAGCCATATGAGTCGAAGTTTATCCATTCCTTTTACCTTCAGGATAAAAGCGATATCTGTGGGCCCCTCGATGATTTAAAGATGATACATGTGAGTGCTTGGCTAAGCCAGGACTGATTTGATTTTTTCAATCAGTCAGTCATCATGAATCGGAAATCGGGAAACAACAAATGGACAGAGAGAATGATTGATAATCCATGTCTCAGTCCATATGATATCTAGAATGGAGGAATATATGATCCCTTATCTAATGGACAAGTCATTGACAAAGGTCAGAGTTCGTCGACAAGGTCAAAGTTCGACAGAAGCTTTTGAGAGCTACGATTGCTGATCGGTTCCTGAAGTCATACGCAATAATAGTTTTAGACTTATCCAAGTGGGAGACTGTTGGATTAATGTCTAAGTCCATAACTATAATTGGTAAGACTTGACCCGACCCGGCATGGTCCATTTGGGTTGCATGGCATCATGCATTTGGATAGACTATAATGAGAGAAATAACACTTAAGGTTGGTTAATATATTATAAGTTCTAATATATTAATAAGGTTATTTAATTAGTATTGATCAAGAATTAATTTGGAATTAATTAAGTGATCAAAAGGAGACTAATTAAATATATGGGTTGATTGTGTAAATCATTCATTCTTATATATGTGGGCTTGTGATCCAAGATTCCTTATGTTGGACTAAGTCCATGGGGTGACCCATGGATACTCCATGGAGGTTAAAATCCATGGAGCATAAGGAATGGGTAAAGTTATGAGTTACATGGTGTAACCCTAATAGCCACCATATAAAAGAATCCCATGGCTCAAGAAATCGTGCACTAATGTGTGAGTGTGAGGGCTAGCCGATTTCAAGGAGTGTTCAAGTTTCTCTCAAGTTATTCCAAGTGTATTTGGTGTTGTGTGAACCATTTGAGGTGTCACACTTGGGGCACTAGGCACTCAAGCTTCATGAAGACATTCTACATCAAAGAGGTATGTATTCTATCTTGTTATATTTATTATTTTGTATGCTAACCTTGGATGTTCATAATTGTGTGTATAATAAAGAAAACATAGATCCAAGGTATTTAGGGTTGCATGTACACTTAGGAGTGTTAGAATGCTCATAACCCAACATCCTCTTCCTTGTCCACACTTCCTTTTGAGGTTGTGCGTTCTTGGAGTAGAATGTTTTCAATCTTTCACGCTCTGTCCAGATGATCATCTCCGGATTGTCATTGGGGTGGAGAGGAGCAAACAATGGTCAGAACATCGTTGGGATTGATTGCATGAAAGTCAGCATCAGTGATGGTGTGGTATGCTGGTTTGTTCCGGATGATGTGATATCGGAACAATGAGCAGTTGAGTTCATATTTCACCAAAATCTTCCTTCCGAACCCATAGATCTTTGTTATCCTCTTCCTTGTCCACACTTCCTTTTGAGGTTGTGCGTTCTTGGAGTAGAATGTTTTCAATCTTTCACGCTCTGTCTAGATGATCATCTCCGGATTGTCATTGGGGTGGAGAGGAGCAAACTTGATATAGCACTTGCTGTATGGAGAGAGAGAGGCAGATCAAGTTATTCCGAATCAATTGTTGGAATATCATAGTACATGAAAAATACTATGTCTGTATCACAAAGAACTCCTTCACAACATAGAGGAGAGATACCGTGCATCAGATCAGGATTGTCTTTGAGAGCTTGGATCCGGATGCTATCCTCTAGGGCTTTGTTGATTTCCTACTTAGACCATCCAAATTTTTGCTATGGCGGAGGTCCGGAGTGGAGGGCTTGATGTTCTTCCGTGACGGGCTTCTTGCCTTTGTCTTTGTTGAGAACCGAGATAACATGCACCAGGTTCTCGTCAATGGTGAACTTTGTAGGAGAGGATTGAAGAGGTTCTTCCAGAATGTCGTCTAGAGTCCGGAGGGGAGAACCTTCATCAATCGAAGCAATTTTTGGAGCCAGAATTGGTGGCAACATGGATGGAGTGGCCTGGAAAGCATCAACCGTTAACTTGGTCTTGGCTTTGGCCATTTGAACACTTCTTTGAAACACACTTGGAAGAGTGGATTGCCATGAAATTGCGGACCAGATTCTCTGCTCTTCCTCCATAAGCACCTTGGCAGGAAATCTCTTGGGTGCTGGGATTCCAATGACAACATTTGTGACATACTCAACTTCCTCTTCATCACTTCCATCATCATCATTATCATTATTTCCTAGAAGTCCAGAAAGAACTTGGACTTCATCATCGGAATTTCCATCTTCATCTCGGAGCTGATATTCTGAGGCAGTCTTCCAAGGTTGACTTGGGCCTTCTCCACCTCTTGCATCGGTAGGCCTGAAAACCGGCGCAAGCGTAATGGTTTCCTTCAAGTCAAAAAATTTCTCAAACACCTTCTGAAAGTTGGTGTTGAGTTGAAGGGTAAGAGAGTCATATGCTTCAGCAGTGGGGGCCTGGGCTTTAAGATGGTTGAACAGGCTGGAAAGGATATAGATCATCTCATCGAACTTTTGGTTCGGAACATCCACAATATTCCAGCACGAATGGAGAAGCTTGAGGAGGACTTGTTGTATGATGAGATTCATCTCATCCTTCTTCCGGATCTCCTTTTCCAGGCGCTAGATCTGCTTCTCATGACGAATATGTGTTTGCTTTATAAGTTCATTGGAAGCATTCAACATATCGTCACGGACCTTCAACATCTTTGTTATCGTGTCAAGGTAGTGATCGACACTTTCGTCATACTTCTTTTCAACTTCCTCAACGGTATGCTTGATCCATAAGGAGATGAGTTGATCCAGCTGGGCTTCACGTTCAACTGTAGTAGGTCCGGAATTATTGGCTTCGGACAAAGATTGAAGGATGGTATCAAGCTTTGAGTCCAGTCCGGAGACTTTCTCATCAAGCTTGGAGTTAAGCCCTGCTACGGAGGTTTCAAGAGAGTTGACCTTCTTCATGGTGTCTGACACATTGGTTTAGATGTCAAGAAGAGCAAACAGATCAATGTGGTCTCCTGCTGAGGATCCGTTGTCAGAGTTGGAATGTTGAGGCTTGTGCTTATGAGATTCAGGATTGATTGGAGTAACGGAAGGACCAGGTTTGTTGGTAGCTGCATCATCATGAAATGTCTGAGTGGATTCAGATTCATTGTCATGAGAGGAGGAGGAGGAACCGAAATCAAAAGCAAACTTGGATGAGGATGGATTGGAGTGAAAACGAACAGAAGAAAGCATATTTGTATCAACAACATTTGCACCATCTTCAGTCAACAGGACTTCTTCGGAAATTTCATCCACTACTAGAAAAACAGCCTTTTACGACGTACAATTTATGATACGCATTGATTTACGATACGCAAAAGCATGTGACCTAAAATTAATGTCGTCTCTCTATAAATTTTAAGGATTTAGGACGCGCATTATCGACGCTCCTTCCTTCCCCCTCCCGACATTGACTGCCGCCTACTTCTTCCCTCGCACTTCGACCATCGTTACTTGCCATTCCCAGTCGTCGACGTCGATCAACGCAAGCACGCCACCAGCCGACAACCTTCACTCTCTCTTTCTCCTTTTCTCTGTAAACCCTAATCCGCCTCCACCACTACCGAATCCCTTTTGTTTATCCTAAATGAATAATGCAACCAAGCTCATATCTCAGATCAATTACTCCGGCGTGGAGTTAAGAATTGAGGGTCCGCTTTAGGTTCACATCCTCGCTGATGTGCAAGTATCATTAAAAAGAACGTCGCCGTAATATTCCTTGTACATTGTTTATTTCGTTTTAGACATGAATATGTTTACCCCAAAAAGTATTGAGCTCATTCATATGTACATTTCCACGCCACCATCACAACCACGGTGGTCGCAGCCATTGTTCATGCCACCATCAGCTCCCTTCATAGTTTCTTCCGAAAATGATTGCACATCCACTTCGGCGGTACTCACTTACAAACCAAATCAAATTTAGTTTCTGCAATGGCTTTGAAAATTCTAATAAAAATTTTCTCTAATCTTGAAAATCCATCGCAGAACTTCAAAGAATACAAATCATATACGTTTCCGTCTCTGTTTTCTGTTGAAGATATTCTCGTTCTTCATAGTTTTCGTGCCAAATTTACAGTCAAACATTGAAGGTTATCGTGAAGGCTCCAACTCAATTCCGGTATAATTTCTTGCTTCACATTCAACTTGGTTTTTTAATTGGTTTTGTGACAAAATTATGGTGTCCTTGGTTGTGATTAAAAGGTGGTACATTCGCTAATACCTTTGTTTTTAGATGAGCACCAAGTGCTCGATGAAATTCCCCAACGAGATGTTTATTGATTGGTTTATTTCTTGAACATGTTTTTCCTTTGATTTCTTGATTTTTCTAATTTATGGAGCAATTCCTCTATCATGTTAACCTTACTTGTAAGGTCTCATATTTCTTTTTATTCTAATGTTATTGTACAATATAGGAATGAAAGAAGCCTAGATGAATTGGGTTTAAATATTTTTGATATGATTTCTCTGGAATGGCCAAGAGCTCACTTGTTTAGAATTTTTAAACATTGACATTCTGTACACAAACCAATTAAAGATCTTGAGCTTACAGGGGTTTCAATTTTCATAGTTTTCATATTCATGTTATATATATACACATTCCTTTATCTGTTTTGATTCATTTATGACACTTACACTTAAAGCTTTTTCTTTTTGAAAGATGGCTAAATACAGAATATCAATATATGGAAGAAAGCAAAGTGAGTGGGACAATTTGGCATGTTGGATTGTAAACAATGAATTATACAGTGAGAATGTTGTCTGGTTGATTCAGGTACTGTATTACTACAATACAATGATACATATACTCATTTTCACCAAATCTTTATACTTTAATATCAACTAACATTATAATTTATATGCATACTTTGTGTTGTTCAGCTACCCCGACTTTACAACATATACAAAGAAATGGGTATTGTGACATCATTTCAGACCATTCTGGATAATACCTTCCTTCCACTCTTTGAGGTTACAATCGATCCAGATTCACATCCCCAGTTGCATGTATTCTTGAAACAGGTAACACCACTCAAACTTAACATGTCACATAATTTGAATTTGAGTTATTTATTTAATGTAATGTTTTAACAATCTTATAAATACAATACATGTGGTAGGATTGGATTTGGTGGATGATGAGAGCAAGCCTGAAAGACGCCCTACAAAACACATGCCAACACCTTCTCAATGGACAAACATCTTCAATCCTGCATTCTCATACTATGTCTATTATTGTTATGCCAATCTTTATACCCTAAATAAGCTTCACGAATCAAAGGGCATGACAACTATTAGATTTCGTCCTCATTGTGGGGAGGTATGTGTGCAAAAGACGTAAATACCCTCATCCTAATTTGAAATAACATTGTTGCATGTATGTTTGTGATCAGGCGGGTGACATTGACCACTTAGCTACCTTATTTCTTACAACTCACAACATTGCACATGGATTTAATCTCAGAAAATCCCCTGTACTTCAATATCTATACTACCTTGCCCAGGTAACAACTAACAAATTCCATTTTCCTGTTTTTAATTTTTATTGATAAAATTGTTATTATTATTATTATTATTATTATTATTATTATTATTATTATTTGGTCAGATTGGTCTTGCAACGTATCCTTTAAGCAACAACTTGTTATTTCTGGATTACCATCGGAATCCTTTTCCAATGTTTTTTCTACGTTGGCTTAATGTTTCCCTATCTACTGATGACCCCTTACAAATCCATCTCACAAAGGGACCCTTGGTGGAGGAATACAATATTGCTGCTTCTGTAAGCATATTCCTACTCCACTCTTATTTTGCAATATGTGATGGGAATTAAAGTATCTTAAATTCTTTTTTTACAAGTCTGGAAGTTGAGTTCATGTGATCTTTGTGAGATAGCACGTAATTCCGTTTACCAATCAGTTTTCTCCCATGTTCTCAAGGTAAAAAACTGTTTCAAGTTTATAAATATGGGCAATGGACTTTATTTAAGTTTTTGCACATCTTTACCCGTTATAGCAATGTACTCAGTACTCACATTTATTTACAAAATAATTAGCAACTTAGTAGGTTGGTTGGTGTTATGTGAAAGTGAAAGGGGTAAGTAAAATTTGAGAGTGATTTGTGTTTTTTTGTTTTTTAGTCTCATTGGATTCGGCAAGAGTACTACAAGAGAGGGCCAGATGGAAATGATATTCACAAGACAAATGTACCACACATTTGACTTGAATTCCGAGATGTGGTTTGTATTTGTATTTTATTGAAAAGCGTATTAGTATGAATTTAAGCACCAAAAATAACGACTGTTACATGCATTTTGTTTATGATAATTTTGGTGATGCAATGCAGATATGGAGAGAGGAGATCCAAAGGTAGCTTTGTAATTGTTTGGTGTGTTGTAGTTAATGCTTATTGGAAGAGTTTTGACTGATGGACGAGTAAATGCCAGAGTGAAATGTGACTTGTATGAGAATCTTACCATGAAGACCAATGCTCTGGTAGAAGGGTAGATTAGTAATTATTAGTTTATTATTTACGTATAATACACATCAAGCATTTTTTGGCTGAATGAACGTTATCGATAATTCATTTTGTTTTTCTTCTCAGCTTACAAGTGAGCCACACATGTCTCATGGAATGATCAATTTTGACTACAAGGTAAATTATTAGTCTTGTATGCTTTACAAGTTTTCCATTTTTATTAAATTATGTCATTTTATTGGTAACTGTTTTGAAATTTGTATGCAAGGTACTGACTATCGGACTCAATTCCAGCTTGGAAATGGTGGTTTGCTTGGTGTTAGTTATATTCAGGTAAAAGATTTCCCATCTCTTATATTAATGTTTGGTTTTAATGTTTGGCTTATAACATTACTTTTGTCTCCTTTGTTGTATGTAGGTTTCATTGGCATCTGATTTAATGTACAATTACATGTCAACATATGTCACTGCCAGCTTTGGCTATGATTATATACTTCGCGAGGCAATTCAATGTAATTTATATTTTATGTTTCTTTATTTAAATAACGTTTGGGAAATTGACATCAAATTTTGGAGTTAATAAAGGATCATTTTAAAAACTAATCTTTTTTACATTGACAGTGTCGACTTAGAGGCAAGATTGACTCAACTGGCTGCACATCTACTTTTCTTGAAGGATCATTTTATGTTTCTTAATTTTATCATCTCTGCTGAGGTCAGTACATTTATCACACTCAGTAATTCCATGCATAAACACCATAAAGAAAAGTATTATATACAATAAATACCAATATACCTTTTTTTTAAAAGGAATGGAATGACTCATTACATTCCATGATCATATTTGGTTGGACTGTATGAATGAAATGAATTTTCATATGCTTTTTTTACATCACATGAAAAAAATCAAACTAGTGGACCCAAAATCTAAAAAATCAAACTAATGGACCCAAAATCTAAAAAATCAAACTAGTGGACCATCATCTCTTTTATCATGTTGATCCCTTTTGTCTTCTTATTAGAAGGCTTCAAGCATACATTTAATGGTTGAATATTAAACTTGATAAATACTTTATATTTTAATGGAAGCCGGAACACCACATGGATCAAATATCATATCTCAAGTGCGGTCCCACATTCTTTGGATGGAGAAAAGGGTAATTTTGTCTTTTACAACTAACATTCCATGTTTGATTCTTCTAATAATTATATTAGCATATTAATTTTTTGAATTTTATTTGATCAGGTCACAAGAATTATCGGAGCAGGGGTTCATTGGTCTTAAAGAATTATGAAAGGCAAGATGCAACTCTATTTAGTTGGAATTTGATGTTTATCATCTTTGTGTATATCTTTTTAGTTTGTACAGCATTACATTGTAGAAGGTGTCCCTTAATAGCAATGTAGTATTAGGTTATATAGTTAAGGAAAACCTCTTAATAACAATGTACAATTAGATCCCCTTAATATCTGTGTATTACAATCTTTTGACATGATGTTATTGGATGAAATTGATTGTTTTGGTATATATTTGTTTACATATTTTTGTATTATACGTAAATGAGTATCGTAAAGACGCGTCGTAAATGCATATCGAAAATGGTTACTGAAGTTTATGACACACAAATGCGTGCCATCTTCATTTATGACAGGGGCTTCCTTGATACGCATTGCGTGTCATAAACATGCACGTCGTAAGGTTACGACACGCAAATGCGTGTCGTCTTCCTTTATGACAGGGCCCTCCTTGATACGCATTGCGTGTCATAACTGCGCGTCGTAAATGCGTGTCGTAAATGCGTGTCGTAAATGCGCGTCGTAAATAGACCACGCGCAAAAGCGTGTCGTAAATAGACGACGCGCAAAAGCGTGTTGTCTCTCTTTATGACAGGGCCTTCCTTGACACACATTTGCGCGTCGTCTGAGCGTTTTACGACACGCATTGCGCGTCGTAAAAGGCTGTTTTTCTAGTAATGATCATCCGAAGTGGAATGAATGGAAGCATGGGGTAGAGTCTTGGGAGTTTCTCCGGAAGTGAACTCAAGATCAGCAATATCGTCTGAGGGAGCAACATAAGGTAGATTGCTCTAGATTGCTTTCTTCTTCATTGCAATCAACGTGGACTCCACTTGTGATCTAGTAAGCTCCGGATGCCGAGAATGAGCCCTGTCAACATAATCTTCCCATAATGGATCATTAACACCTGGTCGTCCTTTACCCTTACCGAGTATCAGACCAGTTGAGGCACCTGAGGTTGGAGGGACAACTCCAGCCTCAGAATGCTTGGGGTCCGGAACAGGGGTTCCGGAGTGTGTGTGTGTTGAAGAAGATGGGATAGCAAATGTGACATGTGTGTTTGTTCTATGGGAGGGGGGAAGGAACTTTGTTCAACACCGACATCACCTTTTTGAGAAGGTGAAGGTGGATTATGTGCAGACTCCCCGTGAGTGTGTGCTTGTGTTTTTGAAACATCGAGGGGTATCTCGGATGAGTGGGTTGGTGGGGTGTTCGGATGGCCAGAGTCAGCCTGAATGTCATGAGCTCCTTCCTGTTGAGAGGAAGAGCTGACTTTGGATCTCTTTTTAGGCTTTGACTTGGTGGGAGAAGTCTTCCCTTTAGCAGACTTTTAAATCTTTCCTCCGGACACAGTGGGACTGGCCTCTTTCGGAATAGGCTCAACGAAGACAGGGGCAGGTTGTGTTGGGTCGAACACAACCGAAGTCTCTAGGTGATGTTTCAAGTGAATTGATTCAGAAAGTATTAAGGCCAACATGTGTTCCGGATGACGTCTAATGGGACCAAAGGAAGATTGGTCCGAAACTCTATAGTGCTTAATAGTTTTAAAGGAGAGATATACCTCTTTCGGAATTGTGGACACAGGAATTGGTTCGGACCATTCCTTATAGAGTTCTTGGATCGTCAAGGCCCAAAACCTAGGGCTTGAGATTTCATTGCTCTTCCTTTTGATTGCAAATTTCCAGAAATCCTGTCATAACACTTCCGAAAGATCGACTGCATTGCTTCGTCCAGAGTAGATGTTGTATACTACATACAGCCAGTCCTTGCTCAGGGTGTCCGTACCACCATGCTTACCGGACAACCCTCGAATGATGAAATGCATCAACACAGTCCAAAGACCTGAAACTGTCGACTTCTTGAAGTCCTTGGCTTTGTAGTCTTGATTGTACCCAATGTGATTCATGAATTGTTGGAATTCTTCAGTGGTTGGTTCTTGAACCTTGAATCCTTCAGGGTTTTCATCGACGCTGATAGCCCTGAGGAATGTGGAATTTGGGATGGGCACAATTCTATCACCTGTGATCTTTGTTTCGAGAATGCCTTTGTCAATCTTGACTCTTGTAAAGGCCGTGTGCAAAAGACTGAGTGGTAGAGGAGGTTCTGGGATTTTGGTGAGTGGGATGGATATGGAATGATGAATAATGAACTGAATCATCACTCTGATGGGTTCATCAAAATCCATGGGATTCATCGAGAAAAGCTGGGTTGTGTCTCTAAGAAAAGGCTCAGATGAGTGTGAGGATGATGATTCTTTGGAAGATTTCTTCTTGGTGACAGATTTCTTGGGTGTTGAAGCAGTTGTAGCAAGTTTTTGAGAAGAAGATTGCGACGCCATTGATGGAGGATTATGATAGCTTGAAGAACACGATGAACACAGAGGGTTTGGGAATTTTTTTTTGAGAATTTGAGCGCGTAAAGAGATGAATGAGGGTTTGGAGGTGCTTATATAGGTGTGTGAAACGGGTCGGGTCAGGAATAGTAATGATGAGGATCCGAAACAAAAATGGGTTGCATTTAATGTTTATCCGTTTGAGGGGGTGAGTTGACCTGGGATAGGAAAGGTTGGGATGGATGATCGCTAAAAATGGAAACCCTAAACAGATATGTGATGGTTGCTTTTGGAATGTACAATTTGGTGTGAGTTTCAAGGAAGACACGATAAGGATCCTCAAAGGTTACCGTTATAAAAACGTTTCATCTTAAACCTTTGGACTTCCGAATGATTGATTCCGGACAGTTTGAGAACCGGAGGGTAATAAGGTGTATTCAGGATCATGGTGATTTGAGGAAAGGGTCCGAAATTTGAACAATCCGGAGTGAAAGTTTGAGGTTCCGGAGCCAAAAACATTTGATTTCCAGAGTGGAATATTTTAAAACAATTCCGGAGAAAGCAATTTTCAAGGTTTCCGAAGAAGATTTTGTGACAACATTCCGGACTCCAAAATTTGAAGTGGTAAGTTCCAGAACAAAAGGAAAAGTGTATTTTGAAATGTCTAGTGACAAAAATTTTAAAATTCTGAAATGGCTATTTTGATGTTCCGGAGTGCATTTGAAGGAATTTCCGGAGCAGGATTTGAAGGATTTCCGGAACAAGATTTGAAAAACTTCCGGAGTGAGATTTAAGCAAATTCCAAAGTATGGAATACAATACCTTTCTGGATTTGAATTCCCAGATGATCTTATGAATTAAATTCCGAGGTGAAAATTTGATCAATGTGATTATGTGGACTATGGATATCAAATGATAAGACGAACTGTACAACTTAAAACTCAAGTGGTGGTTAGAGATAAAGACAAGTAAAATTATCCTATGTATTCCAAGAGACGATTGTTCCGAAATTTTTTTTTTTTGAGTTCGAAACCAATTTTCTAACTGATGTTACCATCAGAGAGAACAAGTCTCTTGAAAGAACTGAGGATCAGGCATCATCATACCCATCTTGTTCAGAAAACCATTGAATTTGGTTTCGTCTAATGCCTTAGTAAAGACATCATCAATTTCATCGTCAGATGGAACAAAAATAAGTTCAATGTTGCCATTTAAGACATGATATTTTATGAAATGGTACCGTATGCCAATATGCTTCATCATGGAGTGCTGAATTGGATTGTGCGAGATCACAATGGAACTTTGAGAATCACAATAGATAGGAATACGTTGAAAACGGTAACCATAATCCAAGAGTTGAGATTTCATCCATAGAACTTGAGAGGTACAACTGGCTGCAGCAATGTATTCTGCTTCAGCTATAGAGAGTGCAATGCAATTCTGTTTCTTGGATGACCAACTAACCAATCGACCACCTAAAAACTGATAGCCACCTGATGTGCTTTTCCTATCCAATTGTAGACCACCATAGTTAGAATATGAATATGCTTGAAGTAAGAAGCTCTCGTTTGCTGGGTACCAGATTCCGAGATTCTTTGTAACTTTAAGGTATCAGAAAAATTTCTTAATAGCCAAAAGATGAGACATCTTTGGGTTGACTTGAAATCTGGCACACAAACATGTAGAAAACATGATGTCCGGACGACTTGCTGTTAGATAGAGCAGGGATCCAATCATTCCTCTGTACTTCTTTTCATCAACTGCTACACCTGAAGGGTCGGCAAAGATCTTGTGTCCGAAACCCATTGGTGCCTTGGCTGAGGCACAGGTGTCCATTGAGTACTTTTTGAGGAGTTCCGAAATGTACTTTTCTTGGTGAATGAAAATTCCTCTGTTAGTCTGTTTGACTTGGAGACCAAGAAAGAAGCTTAATTCCCGATTCATGCTCATTTGAAACCTAATGACCGTTAACTTAGCAATGTCAGCAACCATTGAAGAATCGGTGGATCCAAAAATGATGCCGTTAACATAAATTTGGACCAGCATGAGATGTTTTCCATTTGACCTTCGGAACAGAGTGGGATCTAGAATTCCTCTTTGAAAACCTGAACGCTTGAGAAAACAGTGAGGGTCTCGTACCATGCGCGAGGAGCTTGCTTAAGGCCATAGATAGCTTTCCGGAGTTTGTATCAGTACTTCGGATATAAAAGATTAACAAAACCTGGAGGCTGTTGAAGATATACTTCAGTAACAAGTTCACCATTTAGAAAAGCACTTTTGACATCCATCTGGTAAACCTTGAAGCCTTTGTGAGCAGCATAAGCAAGAAAGATTCTGATAACTTCAAGACGTGCAACAGGAGCAAAGGTCTCATCATAATCAAGGCCTTCAATCTGTGTAAATCCTTTAGCCACCAATCTTGCTTTGTTTCGAATGATAACTCCTGCATCATCTAACTTGTTGCGAAACACCTATCTAGTACCGACAATGGGATGGTTCTGAGGGGGAGGGACGAGAGACCAAACTTCATTTCTATCAAAATCTGCTAATTCTTCTTGCATGGTTGTGAACCAATCAGCATGTTCAAGTGCTTCTTTGATGGATTTAGGTTCAACCATAGAGATAAATGCCGAAAAATGACATTCATTTTGCATACTTGTAGCCGAT